CCCCCCACGTCCCCCCCCGGCCCCTCTCCCCCCTCTCCTGCTGCCACAGCGCTTTCTGAATCCAGCTCCTCTCCCCTGCCCTCACCAGGAATCGCTGAAGCGGCGTCGGAAGGTTCAGGCTGCGAACAATGGTGTGAACTACAACCTACTTGTATTGTTTGGGCTGTTGCAGAGGATGTGGAAGTTTTGTTGGTTTCTGTAGCGTGTTCTCTTTCAGCTGTGTCAGCCACGGCACCGTTTGTTTCGGCCTTCATTTGGGGGTGGTCACCGTTTGTCTTCTCAGCGAGGTCCTCTCCTGAGCTGCCGGGCGTTTCTTCTCCACCATCCCCTCCCGAAGGGGCTGCTTCCTGCGGCTGGCGAGAAAATAAATGGATTTTACAGTCGGAACGGACCGGGCACACAAACCCACTGCATAGACAGGCCAAGAGGAGGCTTGTCTCCTCTCTTGAGGAGAGGCTGAGGGAGCTGGGGGTGTTCAGCCTGGAGAAGAGGAGGCTGAGGGGAGACCTTATTGCTCTCTACAACTCCCTGAAAGGAGGGTGTAGAGAGGTGGGGGTCGGTCTCTTCTCCCAAGGAACAGGCAACAGGACGAAAGGAAATGGCCTCAAGTTGCACCAGGGGAGATTCAGGCTGGATATTAGGAAAACATTTTTTCACTGAAAGGGTCATCAGCCATTGGAATGGGCTGCCCAGGGAGGTGGTTGAGGCCCCATCCCTGGAGGTGTTCAAAAGACGGGTTGATGTAGTGCTGGGATGGTGATGCTTCTTGTTTGTTGTGTGGGTGTCTATTTTTGTCAGTTAGGTTGACGGTTGGACAAGATGATCTTTGAGGTCCCTTCCAACCTAGAAGATTCTGTGATTCTGTGAAGACACTTGTTTCTCCAACTTCTACCTTGGGAAAGGCGAGTCAGCCCGGTGCTGAGGTTTTCCTGCTCCAGGATCGTGCCTGGGAATGAGCAGCAGGAGGCCCTTGGCCTCCCCAGGGTTTCCTCTGCAATAGGAACTGCTGCTGGGCAGCTGCCAAGCGGCAACAGCCTCTGTCACAATTAACAGCGGGGAAGACGAGGCCCTTCACCATACCCAGGCTGCTGTTTTCTAAAACTCGGGGTCAAGGGGGGCACAAAAACCAGCCAAGGGATCGAAACTCTCATGGCGAGAAGTTTGTGTTTAACCTTGCAATTAGGGAAATTCCCCTCCTGTCGGATGTGGAAGGTTTAACTGGTCTTTCTCAATCGGCCCGAGTGAGTGGATCCAGGAATTGCTGGGGAGTATGAACTCTGAGACCCGATGAATCTAACCAGCAGTTCCCCAGTGTCACCAGTAGCTGTTGGTGGCTTTAGAGAAAAACAGCTGGAAACCCCTGTGACGGGACCAGATGGGCATCTGGATCCATGGACTTGGAGACCAAGTCGCTCTCACACACCCAGCCCTCTCCAACCCCAAAGCCAGAACGATATGGAAGAAACTCTAGTAGATCCTCCTCAGCACCAGGTGGTTCTGGCACATCAAAGTGTGAGTGATTTAATGGGGGAGATTGAGCTGAGATCTCAGGAAGAAATTCTCTCCTGTGAGGGTGGTGAGAGCCTGGCCCAGGTTGCCCAGAGAAGCTGTGGCTGCCCCATCCCTGGAGGGGTTCAAGGCCAGGTTGGAGGGGGCTTGGAGCAACCTGGTCTGGTGGGAGGTGTCCCTGCCCAGGGCAGGGGGGGTGGCACTGGATGGTCTTTAAGGTCCCTTCCAACCCAAACCATTCTATGATTCTATGATCTTAGCTTTCCCTTCTTGGGTACCAAAATAATCATCTTTGCTCTCCAACAACCCGAATTTTAAACGGACAATCCACACAAGGCACAGAAGCTGAGCCCAACGTGTAACCCTGGAGCAGGTACCCTCAGGGTAAACTCCTCAGTCTCCAGCAGAGTCCAGAGGTCGCATGCTTCGTCTGAACTTGCTTTCCAAGAAGGCATCTACACATTAACTATATCTGCAGCCTCTGATCTGTGGCCACAGAAGTAACCTGTTTGTCCCTGCATATTATCTTTCCATGTTTTCTTTAAGAAAAGTTGTTAATTCATTTCTGATGCAGCATCTACCAAGAAATCCCAGTCGATTTGGGAGGTTTTACCTCACATTTTCCTCTTTACAAAACTAAGGTTTTGTTTTCTTCATCTGTCCCTCTCCTATTTTGCAAAGGGAGGGCATTTTAACCCTGGGGGAGACCTCAGAAAGGGACAACCTTGTATCCTGAGACAGAAAAGGGGGACCGAGAAAGAAGAGTGGCCTGAACGAGGCCTTAAACATTGCAAGCAGTGAATCTGGGACCAACGGCAGAGATGAACAGTCCCACGTTCAGTTCTCTAAACAACAGGAAACCACTAAGTATTCAAACACTTGAACCAAATAAAGATAGTGAGACCCGACTCTTCACAAAGTGCTCAAGGTTTACTCTCTGCGCGTGACAATGCAGAGAGTGAAGCGGTGGCCGTGACTGAGCACCCTCTGGCCATCTTCAGGAGCCCTTTTGGCTCCCAGCAGCCAGGTTCTTTGCCTCTCCACTCCCTCCTGGCCCCACATCCCTCCAGGTAAGTTCACTTCTGGTCAACAGACACCCAGAAAGGTGTCCATGCAAAAGATGTCGTCCTTTAACCACAGGCTCCATACACGAGCCCAAATTCTTGCGTATTTGAAGGACATGGATTATTCACTTCTTTATTTCCATTTTAAGAACATTCTGGGTTTTATGGTATTGACATCTGCCATGATGTTGTCATCAGCTCTGACCTGGAAGCACTTGGGGTCCCTCTGGATGAGGGATACAGGGCAGTTACAGAGTCATTTTTTTAATACCAGTGAGAGATTTTAGCGTGTGTGTGTCTCCACGCTGTACTCCTGCAAGGACAAAGTGCTGTCTTTCATGATTGTGTCACAGTTCTCCATCTTCCCAATGAAATACAGGAGGTTTCAATCCCTTGGTCACATTAAATGGCACAAACATGAACCTGTGCTTCTAAAAACTGACATTTATACTTGGCAAATACACCCTACTCCACGGTCTTCCCTGCTATACAAAACAAAACAGGAACAAAGCTGCTTTGGTCAGGTTTGATACGATCTTGCTGAAGTACATAAATCAGTCAGCAATATGTCCTACTGCCAGAGAGATCCTTACCTTCAACCTGATTTGAATTCTGTCCTCAGTAACATCAAGCACTTCAATTAATGGCTGACTTTCCGGTGCTGACTGGGAGCAAAAGGAAGGGCATAAAACAGTGCCTAGAAATCCATCAACGTTTTCTTCACTGACAAACAATCTCTCCTAAAGAAAAGAAAGAGCAGGTTATGTTTGTTTCGTACTTTCTTCCAGCGACATCAGAGCAAGAAACAGGCTCTAAACAAAGCCAGGACCCCAATTCACAACACAGATTTCACAGAACAGATTCTACATCAGACATTCAGGAGTAACGAGGATAAATTAATTGAAGACCGGTGCTTAGCTCATTTCAATTTAAAGTACAGATCTGCCTCATACACAAAGATATAAGAAATGTGTGTTTTCTCTCTTTCAATACATGACTAATATATAGATTTAGATTCCCTCTGAGGAGTGATTTGCACCAACACCAAATCCATGGATTTGTTTCAGCATCTTTAGGAGAACGCAAACACCTTGGACTGTCATCTCAGGATCTTTGAATCCTCAGGTTTCAAGATCAGACCGTCTAAAGCAAAAGCTCTAAAACATGCATGACCATATCCATTTCGCATCCAGCCACAGAGCCTTCTCACATCTCCATTTGGGCAAGTGTAAACACCGCTCAGAAGCAACGGAGAGGCACCCACAGTTAAAGATGACAGCCTGGGACGTGTTTTGAGACTGTTACCATGCTGCTCACAAACAATGTAAAACCTGTAGCAACGTGTTTCAAGATTTAAATCAGTTCCAGGTAATTAAAGGTCCTAAAATACATCCTGGAGGGGCTGTTTCATAAGAACTACAGAGCTTTCCCTGTCCTCATAGTCTTCCTAAATCCCCTGCTGTAGGCTGCGGGTGAGGACACACGTTGGCACCGTAAAAATGGTCTAACCTAGAGCACTATTCTCTATTCTTATCTTCTGTGAATTACCTTCCCTGTTTAACAATCAACTGTTTAATTGGAAATCGCAGGGAAAAGTTGCAAACCTCCTATTTTAAGTCATACTTTTAAATTTCTCGGTCCGGTTCTACCCTCTCGTCAACCCAAGGAAAGTTAAATTCGATTATCGCTGACATCTTGCAGACTGAGAAGCAAAAAGGCAATTCTGCACATTTTTGGCCCCCTGTGGCTGTAGCCTTATGCACAGCCAGATGCCGCGCCGTGTCTGAGGTACCAAATTTAACTGCCATCCTAAACAAATAATTGTGTACGGGGAAAATAAAACAGCCTCCTATTTTCCCCCCACTATTTAAATTAGAAATCACAATATGGAAAGTCATAACAAACCTATTGCTGCTTTTCAAAACCGGAGGATTGAATTAATGTTCTATCCAGAAAGATTACAATCCAGGCAAACATCCAACGTGGGATGCTGAGGCAGTTTGTGGAAAGATGAAACTACGGCAGGGCTGCCCTGACAGAAACCCCTCCGGTGACACGCACTTCTTGTAGTTTTGTATACAAAGCCTGAAGTACTTATTCCCTCACGTTGTGTCCTTTCCTTTCCTGCCTGCCGGGGAGGGACCCCACTGCTGCTTTGGGCTTGTAGAAATACTCTGCAGAGTTCGAGAGAAGGCGTCAGAGTAAAGAAACAAAGAGTATGGATGGAAAAATCTGTGCAGCCCCATGAACTAGATCCCTGGCCTCGGGCGGCACAGGAGATGGGTTTCCACCTCCCCCACGTGTGGGCAGACACAAGAGCTCAGCTTCCCTTCCGCGGGGTTTTGGGGAGGCTGCAAAAGCACCCTCTGCTCCGGAAACCACAACTCTCCTCGCCCAGCTGAGAAATCACCTGCCACCAATTCACCTTCAGCTGACACCTCCACGCCTTCGCACCCCACGTTCTCATTTTAAGAGTGAGAAAAATTTCCTGTGAGCTGGCGACTCACCATTTGAGTGAGGATAAAAATAGAAAGACCAGTGTTTGTTACTCTTTTTCCTCCAAAGTAACTGTTACAAGATCTCCACATCTCAATACCCCTTTGGGAGAAGAACCACCATGGGGCAATCTCCCTTCAATTCTCTGCTCTCTCCCAGACTGCAGGCAAGATAACTGTTACAAGATCTCCACATCTCAACACCCCTTTGGGAGAAGAACCACCATGGGGTTTGGGTCTCAGCAATCTCCCTTCGATTCTCTGCTCTCTCCCAGACTGCAGGCAAGACTCTTCACTTCCATTTTTCCTATATAAAATGGGGAAAACAATCTCTTTTCCCTCTGAAACTGCATTTATTTTGTCTAGGTAGACCCTAAGCCTTTTGTGAAAGGACTCTCTTACTGTGTATTTGTGCTCTTAACAAAGTTGGTGCCTGACCTTGCTCGTGTCCAGAAGCAGCGTAACAATAAAAACCAATCACAGCGATGGAAATCAGGGGAGGAGATGCTTGAAAAGCCAACAGGTAATAAAAAGTACTCTGTTAGGTCTAAATATTGCAAATGTCACCCTTAAATCACTTTGTTTTAAGCAACTTTAACCCCAGAGTCACTTGCAGATGCTGCAGAGCCATCGCCTCTGAAGTCAGCGCGGTGGAGGAAGAGCAGCAGCGGCCACGGGAGCGCTCTGCAGAGGGGCTCAGTTGAGTTTTTTTCCCCTGATTAAAAGCAAAATAATTTATTTTCTTCACAAAAAATACGTTAAAAAAGAAAAAAAAAAAACCTGAATGGAAGGTCTATAAGTCAGTACTTTAAATGAGGATAAAAAGTAATCGCTTGTGATGATGTTCCTATCATCGTGATTAATTACCATAAACCAATTTCACCCAGTTTCATACCAGTTCAACGCCATATTCCCAGACCACTACCCTTACATTTCAAGCAAGTATTTAAAATTTTATCACAGCACTAGCCAGTGGCCTGCCATAAATCATGGTACCTTGTGCTGTACACACAAGCAATGCTGTTATCAATGTAATGATTACCATTAGCCTGTTCAGCCAGGCAGCCACTGTAATTCAGACTTTGCATTCGCGGTGAGTCTCCGCTGAGGCATTTCTATTACTGCAGATGTTATCAAAGCACAGACCTTGAAAAAATGATTCAGGAATTTATTTTAAAGCCTGTTTGCTCTGGCTCGGAAGAGCAGCAGAGGACGACCATCTGCAGATGATTTCAATGACCCTGTGAAACAATTCTTCAGTTTAAACAGTTTATTTGCTGATATTTATGATCCTCTCAGCAACTTACAATTAAATTTGTTTTTCCCTGCGCATACTGTCGTCTGCTGTTTGGTACACATTCGTTTTTCCCTGTGACTAAACTGAGACCAAATTAACATAAATGTTAGCAGGAATGACTTTGGTTTCTAGAACACTTCATCATTGGAAGCCGTCCTCGCATCGCACAGCAGTGACAGGGGCTGGGACACCGGCAGAGCAGCCGGTTCTGCAGTATTTTATCCAAACTCCAGTTACCATCCCACACAGGCCACATGCATTTTAAAGGTGGGACAGATTTCAGGCTTAAGTTATTTGCATGTCATCTGTAATGAGAAGCTGATGGCGAAACGCAAAGGGACATGGACCGAGGGATCTTCTGGCCTTTCGGTTTGTAGGTCCCATCACAAACCAGCTCAACGCGAGAATTTGAAGCTTAAAATTTTGGAGAACAAAAGTACCTGGACTGGGGGTGAAAAACTTCTCTAAGGTATTCATGACTGCAAAGATTAAGCAGCTCAAAAGAAGCTTTCATGAGCTTAATCAGTAGGTTAATAATGTTTCCCGACATAACTGTTTTGTGTAAGTACGGTATTCCCACAATGCACCTACCAATTAAAGGCTACTCAGAAATTAGTTTGCTTTATAGCAGAAGCAAACTAATTATGTTTCTTAATGTAGTTTGGAAAAGAGATTACTTTGAAAAAAAAAATAAAAAAATCAAACAATAGGTTTGTTCTGTTCTCCTTCTCTGTCCTCTTCTGACCTCCCAAAAAACTCACCGAGAGTCCTGAAACGCTGAGCACAGAATTAACTGCACCAAAAATAAACTCTTGTAGGATTAAACACGACGGTCCCAGTTTCTAGCATCATCTTCTAAGAAGTGACCCCTAACTATTATATTAACTCTTTATAGTAGCTTGGAAGTTGAAAATTATAACCCTGACTTTAAAGAAAGCATGTAACACACCTCAAAACAGCTTGGAAACAAGGGCAAAACCCAGATGCAGCTGAGACCCAGCACCTCTGTCCGGATTTGTGAGTGTATCACATCCTCCACCCTGCTTTCCTGTAGGGATTTCTCCCTGAAAGGTGGCACAGACTTAAAACACCGAGGTATCTTCCAGTTCTCCAGGTTTCGGGCTTGGTTGACTCAAACCAATATGTTTATCCACAAGAGCCCTCATTCGGAGATCACGGAGCAGGAGGACAGCCCCAGGCAGCGTGCCCACAGGAGAACATCTAACCCATAGGAGAACATCTAGCCCCCAGGAGAACATCTAACCCCCAGGAGAACATCTAGCCCATGGCCTTTTCCACCCGCTGTGAGCACCGGGAGGATCGTAGCTCTGCCACCAACATATAGGATTTCTTTTCCAGGGAATCGGTGGCCTCTTGGTAGCCCCACACCAGGCACGTGCCCAGCGTGGCTGGAGAGCACGGGACTTGCCTGGGAGCACCAGACCTGACAGCACATACAAGACAAAATACCATGTTCAATCAGATAACGAGAGGATTAATTAAAAAGACCGACAGTCCCTCTGTTGTAAAGACAACTAAAAATAATACTGTTCCCATGGGGGTTTTTTGTGTAAACAGGTCACAGAGGGTGTGTTTGTCTTGGAGCTGCCCCACGGGGTACCTGTTGCCAAAGCAGAAGACACAAGTCCAGGGGTTAGAAAACGAGCCGTGCCAGCGGGTGCGTGCAGCGAGCGGAGGTCACAGCGCTCCAGCGGTTTCTACCATCAGCTTTCCCGAGGAAAAAGCAACCAGAGCTTGGAAAGGATCTCCTTCACAGGGTGCTGGTGGCTGTGCCAAGCTAAAAAAATCACACCTCTGGTTTTTTATGCTCAGTAACACACTCCTCTAAACCATTCTCTGTGAAGGCATCGACGTGCACGTGGAAGTTAAACATTAAACAAAGCTCTCCTATTGCTATGCAATTCCCTTGCAGATACCTGTGTCACCTAATCCTCACAAACAGCATCACTCAAGCTCAGTTCAAACCATGAACTAACCAGGAATGTTTTGTATAATATTTTTCATACTGTAAATGTTAAAAAAAACCCACAACCTCAGTGCATAGTAAAGCAGAGGAAACTGCTCCCTGCTGTTCTCCACAGCCCCGTGGGGGTTTACGTGAGTTAAATCTTGATATTCTCCATAAAAGAACATGGGGTTTTATTACAAAAGGGATGTTCTGACTGCAGCAATTCCCTGCCCGGCGAGGGGGACCCCAGGAGGGAAGCAGTGACCCGGGGAGTGAACACACATCCTCTGCACAAAGGCACTCCAGGCCACCAAGGAGGACAGGAAGGGTGTGGAGCAGCATGAAAGCGAATCATTGCTTTCACCAATCTTTTTTCTAATCACATGAAAATGAGCACACATGACCCAAAAAAACTGCGGGCAGATTTAGTTATCTCCCAAATGTGTTTCACATGCTAGTATAACTGAGCCTCCGAGCCTCAGCAGTTGAGATACACCCACCAGAAAACGGGTTTTTATTTCCGTTAAGAATTGAGCATTTAACCCCAGGAGACCAAACATGAAAAAGACGGTGCTTTACGAAGCCACGATTTCAGTAATTGCCCAACTCCAGCTCTGCTGTAAACCAGGACATTCTGGGACACGCTGTTCTCGGAAACCTTGCCTGGCAGGCTTACAAATTTTATTAATGGTTATTTAACTCTCAACCATTCGTTTTTCATCATTTACTCCCCAGGCTCTGTTGTTTTCAAATGAAGGGGCACTCTCTGACGCAGGAGTTTCCTAAGCCTGAGCTCCCAGGATTTATACAAATGGAAGGGAGGACGTCGAAGGCATTAGTGGATGAACTGCAATAAAAGAGTAACAGAGGGAGAACATATCTGGTCCTTCAGGGCAAAGAGATTCCATGAAGGCAACTTCCTCAGGTCGTGGGTCACTATTTCCCTGGAAAAACAGGGCCTGGAGCGAGTCCTGCAGGAAGATCAATGCTGCATGGTCTTTAGTACAGGGACTGAGCACAAGGGCAAGTGACAAAAAGTAACTCCGAAATCCCTGAAACACGTGATCCTGGTCCAGAAAGTCCAAAGTTACAGGATCTTTATTTTTATAGCATTTCTGCTCACCATAACAGGCGGGTGGATGTTACGATTTACCCAAGGAGCGGCACTAAACGGGGAGAAAGAGAAGCGACGGCTGCAACCACTGATTAGAAAGTTAGAGCTGGGAGTCAGCAGAGAGCTGAATACCTATTGTATGGGAAAGCAGGAAAACCAAAGCAACATCAGGAGCTACCAAAGGAAGGAAGGCTTGCAATGACACAGTTAAAGTCCAGGGAGGACTGTTGCACTGTACAGATTTGCTGAAAATAAGCACTCGCTGGGGTGGGAATTCAGACTGCTCAGCATCTATGGAAACTGAGCTCTAAATAGCTCGTCTTTCAGCGCAGGGATTCAAACGTATTCGACTCTACAAAAGGAAAAGCAGTCCTTGAAATTCTGTTTCAAGAACGGCATCCTAAGGACAAGCTCAATTCATTCTTCTACCAATACCTGTATCAGACCAATTTCCAACAAGAAAAGAGGCCGGTTGCGATAACAGGAGGATCACAAGCAGGCAAGGCAGGGCTGGGCAATTACCAGCATCGTTATCCTCCGCGTTGATTGGGGCAGAGGCGCGGGGGCAATCAGAACCAAGCGACGGGCACCGCACCACATCACAGCACGGGGAGGAGGCTGCCGGCCAGACACATCCCACTCAGGCAGTGAACAATTATCCTAACACATTTTCCTGGCTGTTTGGCAAGTTAATGGGAGATAATTACGCAGGCAGCCTAACGGGGAACTGCACGAGCCGTCGCCGAGATGGGCAGATTTCTCAAGTAACTAACCCAGGGAAGAGTCTGGAATAACGGTCTTCTAGTTCCTAAAGGGGCTCCAGGAGAGATGGGGAGGGACCCTTAATTAGCATTTAGGATGCTCCAGGGAGACCTTAGAGCCCCTTCCAGTCCCTCAAGGGGCTCCAGAAAAGCTGGGGAGGGACCCTTGATCAGGGAGGGGAGCCATAGGACGAGGGGGAAGGGTTTGACACTGAAAAAGGGGAAATTTAGATGTGATCTCAGGAAGAAATTCTCTCCTGTGAGCGTGGTGAGAGCCTGGCCCAGGTTGCCCAGAGAAGCTGTGGCTGCCCCATCCCTGGAGGGGTTCAAGGCCAGGTTGGAGGGGGCTTGGAGCAACCTGGTCTGGTGGGAGATGTCCCTGCCCAGGGCAGGGGGGTGGAACTCAGTGATCTTCAAGGTCCCTTTCCAATCCAAACCATTCTATGATTCTGTTCCCTGAAACAGCACAGAAACCCTTGGTCTCCAGTAAGAAAAAACTCCCCAGAAGATAGCGGAATAGGAATTTCTTATCTGTAAAAAACCACCAGCCTGTCCTTTCACTGGGCAGTATCCTCCTGCAACGTTACTGTTGGAGGAGAGATTACAAACAAGCAGACAGCAACACATCAGGGAGGCACAAGGTAAAATTCTTGCTCGCCTTGGCCACCAAAAGCTCCCTGAAGTGATTGAACAGGGCACTGCTACCACGTGCGTTCCTAAAAACCTCTCCTATGACTGATGTAACTCCTTGCAGATCTCAACGCAAGAACCCCAGCTCTGATTTACAGATTCAAAGCAGAAAAACACCAGAGATGACAGCAAACAAATCGAGGAAATCAACCTAAGTAGAAGAGAAGGTACCACGAGCAAAAAGTTAATGGACAGAAGACAGTGTGTAATAGAAGCTCTAATTAAATATTAATTTTTCTCACTTCACTCTGAGTGAATGCAGCTATCAGCACTGGCACAGGCACTTTGGGGAAAATAGCACAGTTTAAAAAAAAAAAAAAAAAAAAGAGCAGAACAAATTACTTCAGACTATTTCAGCTGCTTCCATTTGCAGGCCTGGTATCCAAAAGGACCCCAGAAGAAATCAATCTTTTTGAGCCTGTTACATGAATGAATGGCTGGGAGGCCTATGACTAATGCCAAATCTCCACCTACTACTACTCCACCCAAAACATTTTGCAATATATAATATATTTGGCACATTCAAAGATTGTTTTCACTCGCAAAAACGTAATACTGACCAAAATCCCATTACTGCATGCCCTTTTAACAACTTTCAATCCAAAGAGGTTTCCCCAATGATAATAACAAATGCACATCCCAAACACTTTCAATCATTAGGCTGAGATCAAGGTATACGGAAATGTCCACCGGTCACAGCAGTAAAGAGATACTGCAGCACAATTTCCTGTTTCCCAAACTGAATTTTCAGCTACATCCTCACGTAGAGTCACAGAAAGCTGTTGGTTTCCCTTAAAACCTGCATTTAGGCCTGCATGCCATAAAACAAGCAAGCACACAGACACCACAATGAGAGATGAAAAGAAGTAGACATTCAGACTATCTGAAAAAGCAGAGAGAATGCCTGTAGTCTCTACCCCGTGGGACTACACGGGCAGTAGTTTGCGTGACGGCTTATTTGACGTCGCATCAGCACCCAGCACTTGATCACCCCAATTAACAGTAGTGCTAAATGTTTCCTGGCCCCACTTGCACAGACTTGCAGGCTTCTCATCTGGTAAAAGAGAAGGAAATGCACTGCAAACAGTTCAGTGTAGGTGGCTCTCAATAAATCCATCATCTTCAATATTTACCCTAAATGATCAGCCCCTCCTTGAGGGGTTGCTGTCACAGGAAAGGGTCGCAGCCTGCTAAATGGGAAATAAACCACGTGCAGCTGCACAAATACTAACTGGATAAATACCTTTCAGAATTCAGTATTTTTTAATTGTAGGGATGGAGCAATTAAGATACTCCAAGCCACCATCCCAGTGGATGTACTTTAAACCTGCCAGTTTTCTGGACTTGCACTCCCATGGTACGTAATCCAACCTGCAAAGCATTTTATTGCTCTAAAATAAATAAAAACTCCACATCACAGAGCTGAAAGTTTACACAAGAATTGTGCAGCCTTAATCCCTGTTCACGGTGAGTTTTTTGAAACTCTGAGCTTACAGAATAATGTAGTTCTCTGCAAAACCTGTGCGAGTGCTTCTTGACAGCAAGGGTGCTGCAAGGTGAGCATCCCTTTGCGGGGACACTGCCAGTTCTGGGCAGGCCTGCCAACCTCCTCCCGCTGCAGCAAGCATCGCTGCCTAACGATCCATAAAATAATAACACATCTCAACTGGCATCATATTCAGGCTGGTAAGAAGAGAAGATGAAGAACCAGCCCAGCAAAATGGCAATTGACAGCAGTTCCCAGCTGTATTGCTCTGGCTAAACTCGTGGGTGTTCCTGCAGCTGGAAATGGGAGTTTGGTCCTGAAATACACACAGGTACACACCAGTCACACGTCTGCGTGTCGTGACACTGCCTGCATGTGTGTGCATGTCCAGTGTATTACCAGCATCTCCTTTCTTCATGTGAATAGGCCGCACGAGCAACTTACAGGGCTTTAAGGCTAACGCTAAGGGCATAGGGCAGGCTGTGTTCTCACTCATCATCAGAGCTTCCCTTAGATACAAATCAGCACAGGAGGCAAAAGTCATTTCAATTCCAAGGACGCAGATGTCAGCTCAGTGACGTGACCTTCGCTCTGCTCGTACAAGCCCAGCACTGATTAGGTCGTTGCTCTTAGATCCGGTAACAGCTCTCTGAGGGAAGCAGCTTCCGTCAACACACCGACTTCTTCCGAACTCAGACTGATAACCTAACACCTCCCTGAGACACCACTCATCAACGAATGCAAACAGCAGAGCTCACACCCCGTGGCGAAGCGGTTGGCGCTCCGGGGAACGTGACGCCCCAAACCCTGCCATTTTTGAAGCTATTACCTGCAGAGCGGAGGCGTCAAGGCCGAAGCAGAACTTCTCCCAGGGCCCCGTGCAGCCGGGGGCCTTGGCGAGCCCGATGGCAGCGTTGTGGGCAGACACGCTAACGCTGGTCTCAGGGGACACCAGCCTGTTGGCGGGAGGAAACTGTAAGAAGAGGGCATAGGTGCCAGTGTCACTGGAGAAGCGGAGGCTGTAGTGACTCGTGCCCACGGCCCCGCTGAGGCTGTGGGGCAGGATGCCGGGCACATGGAGGAGCAGGGTGAGGGAGGCCTCATCCTGCCGGCACTGGAAGGGAGGACACACGGCGGCCTCGGGGCTGTCGGAGCCCCGGGGAACCACCATCTCGTCGGGGCTGTTCCCTCGAGGGGGAGGGCACGGAGCTGAACCGAGGCCGCCGGGCACGGAGGGCTCGGGGTCGGCGCTCGGAGTCGGGGAAGCGGCTCCACCGCCCGCCTCAGCCGCCGG